GAGCGGGTTGGCTTGGAAGGGATCTCGAAGGTCATTCAGCTCCAACCCAACACCTTCCACTCTCCCAGGCTGCTCCAAACCCCACCCAACCTGGACATTTCCAGGAATGAGGAATCCACAACCTCTCTGGCCATCCCCTTTTTTTTTTTGATGAAGATTTTGTTCCATCTTTGCCTCTTCCCACAGAGCAGCTGAGCTCGGGGAGTTGCACAATTCATTTTTAAACCTTCTCCTCGTGGCAGGATGAAATTTTTCCACGTGGATGGGAGAGGTTGAAATGCCCTCTGATCATCCCAAGCTCCTGGATACAATTTCAGTGCCTTGATTTATGTAAGAGTGAAATAATGGTTACCTGTCAGAATTGTTCTCTGGAGCGTTCACAGGTTTGAACAACCCTCTCCCCACCCTTTATTGAACACAAATCACGCAGAGTTAAAGGACTTTTTTTCTCCAAACACGCTTGGCCTTGCTCAAGTGGAGCCTCTTGGTGCTTTTCATGGCTCTTGAAGACCAAAAACAGAAGAAAGGAGCTGCAATTTTTTATCTTCCTTAATCCCCCCCCAGAAAAAAGTAAATTTCAGCTTCACGCCCAACCCAACTTCTTGTTGCTGTTTGGATTTTCAAATATCTTGAGCTGTTTAGGCAAAAAGGTGTTCTGGCTCTGCAGTGCACCTGGATGAGAACAAAAGCAGCTGGAATATTTGTGGATTTATGCACATTTGAAGTATTTTCTGCTCAATTGATTGTCTTCTTCCACTAGATGGGGCTTTCTTCATTGATGAGTTCAACCATTTCTTAGCCTTCAAATTCTTTTCCCCATTTAAAAGTGTGGATGTGCCTCAAGGATCAAAGCCCTGAAATGTTTGGGATGTTTGTCTTATTTTGTTTTTCCTTTCCACCTTACCTGTATTGGAATTTTTGTGCTTTTTTAGAGGCCTCGAGCAAAGCTGGTGATGTGGAGGCACCAGAATCCACCAAATCCTTTATTGTTTTAAATTTAAAGATAATTAAAGGTAATTAAAGATAATTAAAGACAAAGCTCCCCTCTGAGCTCTCTGTGGATCATTCCCATCCTTGCTGTGTCAAAGTTTGGTCACTAAAATCCAACTTTTTTGGGTTTGATCTTGTCCTGCTCCTTCTGAAAATTCTCATCTTGAGTTTGCCCTGCTGAGGAGAGCCAAAGCAAATTCCTCCCTCATTTCCCTGGTCTTAAAAATGAACATTCAGACAGCAAAAAAAAAAAAAAAAAAATCAAATTAAATTATTTTTGTGGAATTACCTTCATGAGGACAACGTGGAGCTCCTCCTGCACCCTCTGTGGTTCCCCTCAGGTGTTTTCTGCTCCTCTCACCTCTGCTGTTCCTCAGAACATTTTCTTTCCCTTGGATCTTCCACCTGCACACAGGGAAATGTTTTGGGGCCAAAACCTCTTCCAAGCCCACCACATCTTCACTGTTCCCCTTGGCTCTCTTTTCTTTTTATTTCCCTCATATGCAAAGGCACGTCCTCCTTTATTTGAGACCATCTCACATTTTAATTTATTATTTTTTTTGCAGTTAATGCATTGTTTTAACGTGTTCCAGTCTGCTCCCCTGCATTTAAATCATCCTTGTGTTTGCAGTCAAGCAGGAGGACAAAAATAACTGTGGGCTTGTGGTGAATCAGTGGAATTTTCCTGCATTTCTCCCCTGGTGACTCCTAGAGAGCACAAATGCTTTTTGCATTTCTGTTTGCAAGAACGAGGTGCTTTCCCTGCTGCATTCCTGTATTTTTCCCTGGTTTTGTCTCGCTGGGATTTGGGGTTGTTTACTCCACCAGCAGCAGCCTTGTGGGGTCATAGAGCAGTGCTTGCAGTGAAGGTTTGAGGGTTTAAAAACCCTGCTGGCAGCTGATTTCAGTGTGGAGATTTGAGGGGAAGGGGTTCAGATCTCCTCAGGGATTTCATTGTCCATTATGTTGCTCATTGTTTTTCCAGCCCTTCTTTCTTTCCTGAAGAAATCCAATTTTTTTTTCATTTTTTTTTTTTTCCCTCCCTTCTTTCTTTATTTTCTTTTGTTGTTGTGGCAGAGGGAAGCAATTGGAGAGAGAGAGAGAGAGAGAGGTGGTTGTTTTTTTGAAACCCCACGTTGTTCCCAGTGCCTGCAGTTTTGATAAAATACCTTTTTCCTGCGAGGAGTCAGAAAAGATCTGCTGGAACAGCTCATCCTCCCTTCCCCCCCTGCTCCTCCTTGGCTTATCAACAGTGCGTCAGTGGAAATTTCCACCCTTTGCTAATGGCAGAGAAAGCACAAAGTTGCAAAGCAGCCTTTGGAGGGGAAGGAGGGGGAAAAAACAAAATAAAAAAAAAAACAAACCACAAAACAAAATAAAAATAAAAATCCCCCCCCAATCCTGTCGCCGTTTTAGGAGCGCGATGAAAAGCGAGGCAGAAATGGAATTAAATTGTGGATGAGGAGCAATGGGATCGGAATCACCAGCTGGAATTCCTCCCCCCATCCTCCTTCCTGGTAGGTGAGAGGATTTGGGAGGCTGCTTCCCAAGGAGGAGAGTTCAAGTGTCATCTGCTAAATTCCCCAGTGGGCTGCAATGGCTTTAGCAGAGAATTCCACGTTTTTCAGGGCGCTGCATCCTCAAATCCCGCTGGGCTGCGCTTCCACAAGATTGACCAGGCTGGAAAACGCTTCCTGCCCCAGTCCTCTCCCTTCTGGAGCCCCCAGAGCAGCTTCCCAAAATCCCAGTGATGCTGGGGGGGTTTGCCAGGAGGAGCCAGCCCAGCAGAGTTCCCCCAAATCCCTGGGATGAGAGATTCCTGTAGCTCAGAATCCTGGAATACCGAGCTGGAATGGGCTGGAGCTGCTCCCTTGGCTTCAGGGACAGCCCATTCCAGCTGGGCACCTCTCCTGGAGGAACCTCAGCACTAGGGATTTAATTAGGATTTTTTTACCATTCAACCTATCCCATAAGGAATTCTGGAATTTCTGGGAAGGGTTTGGAGATGATTTGAGGCTGTTACGTGGATGCTGGTGTGAGATCAGGGTGGTGGCTGAGGAAAAGTGTCATTCCCATGTTTTCCAGGGTGGATTCTGCACTCCAGTGGTGCTTCTTGAGTCATTCCTGGCCCCACTGCCAATATTTGGGATGTGATGCAAAAGAATGAACCCAGCACAGTCTGAAGGAGACGAGCAGGGTTTGTTCACAGCCTCACCTCCTGGATTTCCCCTTCAAATTCCCAGTTCCCTTCTGGTCTTGGGGGATTTTCCTTCCAGGATCAGCTTGGTGAACAAGGGATGCTGCTGCTGTGGTTCACTGAGGAAAAATCCAAAATTCCTGCACAGTCCTCTCTGTCAGGGGCAGTTTTGAGATGAAAATGGGATAATGTGCCTTCATTTAAGGGATGCCACTTTCGGGTTGTGTGGTGCTGCATGGGGAGGTGGGATTGGAGAGTTGTGGGATTCTGGAATGGGTTGGGTTGGAATGAACCTTAAAACCCATCCATGGAATGGTTTGGATTGCCAGGGACCCCTCCCACTGTCCCAGGTGCTCCCAATGCCCAGCCTGGCCTTGGGCACTGCCAGGGATCCAGGGACAGCCCGAGCTGCTCTGGCAATTCCATCCCAGCCCCTGCCCACCCTGCCAGGGAACAATTCCTGCCCAAGATCCCTGGCCATCCCTTCTCCCATGAAATGTTGTGAATGAAGCAGCACTGCCTGTAAAGCTGGAACCAGAACTTTTAAATCATTTTTTCCGGTTTGGAGAGACAGTTCCCAACAGACAGGAGCCAGGGAATGGCTCCCAGTGCCAGAGGGCAGGGCTGGCTGGGATCTGGGGCAGGAATTGATGCACAGGATCTCTTGTGTCCCCTGGCTGGAACAGAGCAGGGAAGTGCAGGGCACCCCATTGCTCCCTCAGGTGTGCTGGAGCCAGAAAAACCTGGAAAACTCCAGCTCAGCTCCTGAGGAATTCAGGATCTGAATCTCCAGGAAGGGATTTATTGCAGAAATAACTTTGGCAATCGAGATATCAGTGAGGAGCCACACTCTGCTTCCTGCAGGGTGGTGGTGGTGGCTGTGTCCTCATGGACACCAGGAGAGCTGTGGGGACACCAAAGGGATCTGAGACCTGGCACAGGGAGGGGCTGGAGCTGGCCCAGCAGGGATTTAGGCTGGGTTTTAGGGCACCCAGAGGCTGCTGACACTGCCCAGGCTCCCCAGGGAACGGGCACAGCCCAGGGATGCCCAGGCTGGGGTTGTTGGGGGCACTGGGTGATCCCTGGGGGTTCATTCCCACTCAGGACATTCCATGCTTCAATCCCACTGCTGGATGCTCATCAAGCTCCAGCAGGTTGAAGGTTTAAGCTGTGTTCACATCTAAGATGTGATTTGGGATAAATCCACCTCTTTTTTTTTCACATCTGCATTCAGCTCCGAGGCAGAGCTTTGCAGAAGGAATTTTTGTGTGTGGAATGAGCTTGAGATGTTTCCCACTGGCATCTGTTCCCCCAAAAATCCCCTCAGGAATCTGAGGAAGGAGCTGCTCCTGCCATCCTGCCTTGTTTTAAAAATTGTCAAGACGTGGGAATGATTGGAAGAGGAAAAATCAAATTCCTCAATCCCCTTGGGTCAGCAGTGCTGGCCAGAGCTCCAGGAGTGTCGGGACAGCATTCCCAGGGAAAATCTGGGATTGGTGGGGGCCTGGATGATCCTGTGGGACACATTCCTGCTCAGAATATTCCATGATTCCAACAGAATTCAATTGAACTTTTCATCACTGAAAATTTCAATTTCATCACTGAAGTCAAGCTAACATTGAGCTTTTATTCCAAATAACCCAGGCACCAAAATCCAAAAAAATAAACTTAGGAACTCCCATTAAAAAAAAAAAAAAATCTCACAGGAGCAGAAAAAAACTTAAGAATTCTCTTAAGAAACCTCCTTATTTCCTTGAATTTCAGCTGTTGCAGCCCAGGTATTTTGGTTTATTTGGTGTGTCTGTCATTGCAGGTATTTCCTGATAGATCTGGAGGCTCCCCCTTCCATCGTGTCCCCCATGATGGAACATTTGGGACGGGACATCGATGTCATCAGAAGGGCTTTTATCAAACACCCCCTGGCCAAGGCAGAAGAATGTGGTGGCATCATCCCAGTCAGCCCTGAAGAGAAACTCTCCTCTAAAAAAAACTGAAAATCTCAAATGTTTCAAACCTTTCTTAATCCTTTTTTTTTTTTTTTAATTGCTGCTGTGTAAAAAAATTGTGATAATTCCTGTCCAGCATTAAAAAAAAAAAAAAAAATCTCTTTATGACCAGGGGATGTGTGTGGTCTTATCACAGCATCCTCATTATTTTGGTTCAAATAATTGGAATGGTTTTAATCTGGGTGCTTATCTTGATATTTGACAACTCTGCAAATTGATTTGCTTTTCTCTCAGAGCATTATGTTGATAATGAAGATTTCTCCAGCAGCAGGAGGATATAAATAGCATTTTTTCCAGAGATTACTCCAGAATATGGATATTTACAGGAGAGATTAAGATGTCTGCAGTGGAAATATAAAAATCTAGGATGTGATTTGGTGGGGAGGTTGTTTTGGAGGGGAAAAAAAGGCAATAAAAGTGTGGATAAAAATAAAACCTGACACGTTTTTTGGTTTTTTAAGTATTAAAAAATCCCAAAACCTTCACTGCCAAAAGCCACCTCATGGTCCTCGAGGTAAATAATGTTCAAAGCACAGGTAAAAAACCCTTTTTACACAATTCCAGGTGGGAATTAGAAACCCCCCAAGCTTTTGTAGGAGCAGGAGAATCAAAGATGATTTTTTTTGCCACCAAGTGGACATTTCAAACCGGAAAAAACATCAGAATAAAGTGTTCATGTGTCTTTTTTGTCTTTCTTCTGTTGAAAACAGGAGGAAAATCAGTGATATTGTTGTTATGTGTAAAGACCTCCTGCTCTCTGATGTAAATCCAGAGGTTGGATCATTCCTAGGGGGGTTTTGTGCTCTTTTTTTTCTTCCTTGGATGTGGAATTTTGGGAAGGAAAAGAAGTTCTTCTGAATATCTTCTTTTTTTTTCATATATTTTTTAAATGCATCAGAAGAAAAAGTAACATCTTACATCTTACTTTAAGAGTTCTGAATGTCTGGATTTGTGGGGTTTATTTGTTCAATTTTCATCATGGTTTTTTATTTTAATTTTAATCTGATTTTTTTTTTTTATTCTCTTTTTTCCTGGAAAAATCATTGGAAGAACAGAGGGAATGCACTACACACTCCCTGAAGCTCAATCTGTATTAGAGGTGCTTTTATCCAGGCAGAGCTTTCCTTATCCATGATTTTTCCTTGTGGGACACACCTTGCTCCCACCCAGGGATGAGCTCAGCCAGGAGGAGCCGTGGATTTGGGAATCTGTGCCCTGGGTTTGGCTCCCTGAGCTGCTGAAAATTCACATTTTTGGTGTAGAAAATGCCAGCTGCAAGAATGTTTCTTACTCAGGGGTTTCTCTGAAGGTTTCCTCGAACAGAGAGTGGACAGAAAACCTGGGGTTTAAAGGGATTTTGCCTCTGACCTGGAATTTGGGACCTGGATTTGGGTTGAGTAGGGAGGGGAATAAATAAGATTCCAATTCTGCTGTGTGAAACCCAGCAAAGGCTGGAAATGTAAAAATGTTATTTGTCCTTTTTCAGTTTCCTTGCTGTAGTTTTAAATTTTGCATTTAATTTGTCCCAATTTCAAGATCGATGGAGAGGCTGAGAACCAACCAAACTGAGAAACAAATCTGTCTGCAGCTGAATTAGAGAAATGTGGAATTGTGGATGGGTTGGGAGGGATTTTAGGGATCATCCAGTGCCAGCCCTGCCATGGCAGGGACACCTCCCACTGTCCCAGGAGCTCCCAATGTCCAGCCTGGCCTTGGGCACTGCCAGGGATGGGAAATCCTCAACCTTCCAGGAAGAAGCAATTCAGAATCAATGAATTAAATTCATTTATTTAATTAATCAAACATTTTCCTTCAAACTCCAGAAACTCTGCTACCAACCACAACACATTCCAGTAAAGGCTTCATGGTAACTCTGCAGAATTCTCCTGATCTTGCTGAGAAAGATCCCCAGAAGCCCAAGTTGTGTCCCAGCCATGGCTTCCTGATGTGAATACATTTCATCAAGTTCACTTTGTGTGTTCATTAGAATTAAGAGTGGAAAGGAAAGAGAATGAAATCCAAACAAAACCAGAGCTGGAGGGAACATCTCCCCTTCTTCCTCCTTCTTCCCTGCTTTTCCAGCCTGGGCACGGCACCTCCGGGGCTGCGATGTCCCCGTGGTCACTCGGGGTCCCTGCCCAGCTCTGGAAAGAGCTGGAGTGGCAAATCAGCCAATTTCCCAGAATTGTGGAATCCTGGAATCCCAGAACTGCTGGAAAAGCCCTCAAAGCCCAGGGAGTCCCAGCTGTGCCCGATGCCCACCTTGTCCCCAGCCCAGAGCCCTGAGTGCCACGTCCAGCCCTTCCTTGGGCACCTGCAGGGATGGGCACTGCAAAGCTCCCTGGGCAGCCCCTGCCAAGGCCTGAGCTCCCTTTCCATGGGCAAATTCCTGCTGCTGCCCACCCTGAGCCTCCCCTGGCCCAGCCTGAGGCCTGAGCTCTCCTCCTGTCCCTGTTCCCTGGCAGCAGAGCCCGACCCCCCCGGCTGTCCCCTCCTGCCAGGGACTTGTGCAGAGCCACAAGGGCCCCCTGAGCCTCCTTTGCTCCAGGCTCAGCCCCTTTCCCAGCTCCCTCAGCCCCTCCTGGGGCTCCACACCCTTCCCAGCTCCGTTCCCTGCCCTGGACACGCTCCAGCCCCTCCAGGGCTCTCCTGCATTCAGCAGGAAAACCCTGGATGCTGTTTGAGCCCTTCAGTTTTTTCTGGAATATTTGCCACCGTTTGGGGTGAATTAGGACCATTTGTGTCCCTCTTTCTGAGGGATCCATTCCCTATTTTATCCCAGGTTTGGGGGATGGCAGGAGCAGGACTCCAGCACTGGAACTGTCTCAGCACCCAGGTTTGTTTATAAACCTCTCCACAGCTGCCTCCCAACTGCAGCTACTATTTTCCTCTAAATGGATAGTTTCTAATAGGGACTTTTAAAATCTTTTTGTTGTTTGAATAGGAGGTGGAGTGGGGAGTTCCTATTTGTTAATCCCAGTCAGCTCCCAAACCAAGAGCTGGATATTTTGGGAATGGAGGTGAGGGGATCAAACTGGAGCAGTCCTGGGACTGAGCAAAACAGCTGTGCCAGGAAAAAAAAGGCTTTTTCTGTGCCCTGAGGGATCATAAATCCCTCTGGAGGAAGGGAAACCTTGGGATGAGTTCCACCTTTTTTCATTGTCCATAGCCCAGTTTGTCCAGGGGTTCTGAGAGGCTCTGGATCTCCAAGAGTGAAATTTCAGGACACTGGAGAGCCAGAGGAGCCGTGCAGCCAAGCCATGGCCTGAAATGTCCAATTTGAGAATTGAGTGGGCAATTCCATGGCCATTCCCAAAGGTCTGAGCAATTGGAACGCCAGGATTTGAGTTTTGTTTCCCAAAGAATCCAATAGTGAAGCTCCTCAGCCCTTCCTCAGCTTGTCTGAGGGTAGAAAATGAGGAGTTTTCTGCTCCTAAATCCTCTGGGTTTTTTGTTTGGGGATTTTGGGGATACACAGCCTTGGGAAAAATGATTCAAATAACAACTGGAAGCTCTGACTTGGAAAGGTTTCCTCAGAAAACAAATGGAGAAGATCTTGGGAACATCCTCAATCCCTCTCTTTTCCTGATCTTTTCTCTTCCATGGGGGAATTTTGCACTCTGGAGGTTTCTCCAACAGGCTGAGGGCACTGCACCATCAAAGAATTTCACTGCCCTGATCCTGGGAAGTTTGAGCACACAAGGATTTTCTCCCTGAATCCAGAGTGCACCAAAATCCCTTTTGCTGGCAGGGTGAGCATAAAGAATTGCAGGATCTTCTGTTTCAGGGTCACTCTGGAAATCCAGCAGCAGCCAGGGAGGTGTTGCTTGGGAAGTCATCCAGGGAAGGATTGGAATGGCAGAAGTCAGCCTGGCTCCTGCAGCTGGATCTGGGATTTGATCCCTGAAACTCATCCCTGTCCCTTGGTGGGATCAGCTCCGTTTGCTGGGTTGTTGATGAGGAAGGAAGATTTTGGGATGCAAACCAGGGCTGTTGGAGTCAGGAATTTCTCTCAGGATGTGACCGGGTTCTTTCTGCCCAAAGAGTCTCCAGCACAGGATCTCCATTCTCTCAAGGAATCACAAACTGGTTTGGGTGGGGAGGGATTTTAGGGATCATCCCAACCCAGCCCTGCCATGGCAGGGACACCTCCCACTGTCCCAGGAGCTCCCAATGTCCAGCCTGGCCTTGGGCACTGCCAGGGATCCAGGGGCAGCCCCAGCTGCTCTGGCAATTCCATCCCAGCCCCTGCCCACCCTGCCAGGGAACAATTCCTGCCCAAGATCCCAGCTGAATCTCCTCCCTCTCAGTTTGATTCCACTTTTCAGGCTCCTTTTAGGTTCTGGAAAGCTGCAATTTTAAGACAAA